TGTGTGTGTGTGTGTGTGTGTTTGTGTGTTCAACAACATCAACAACAACGACAAGTATAAATGCCACGCTACGATGACAACAACACATCAACGGCGTTAAAATTAAGTAACAAGCAGCCAAAGTATAACGGCATATAGCTAAAATATCCAAATGTTTCAAAGAAATGCACCAACACGCTGAAACATCGAAATTTAAAAGACGTTGCTAGAGTGCTACAGTAGACGACTGGTCTTAAAACGAATTTTGACGCACACAGTTACAGGTTGATAAGAACAAATGTATAAAATGAGAAGACGGCGGTGCAGCGTCGCGTATATCTCATAGGCAACCAAAGTGGGATATTGGCCACAAGTGCTGTTTGCTGCCGTTGTTGTTGTTGTTTGTTGTTGTTGTTTGTTGTTGTTGTTTGTTGCTGTTGTCGATGATGATGTTTCTTTTGCCCCATTGATTGTGCTTACAGCGCCTACACTGTTTTGAATTCACCCGTCAGGATCCTCAGTATCGTTATTAAATCTCTCGATATATATACATATAGAAGAAAAAAAAAGATATTTTCCGTTTCCGTTAATTTTTTTCTTTGCTTTAGTGAAAAATGTTTCATTGTTCATTGAGAAGAAGGAGAAGGGAAAAAAATTAAAAGAATTACTGAACAACATACTTGATGTACTTTTTTCGCTCATTCTTCCTTGGGTCTCTTCCGTTTTACTTCTTTTTTTTTTTTTCTTTTTTTGTCCTCCATTTTTTGTTTGTTTGTTTATTTATTTGTTTGTTTGTTTGTTTGTTTGTTTGTTTGTTTGTTTGTTTTGCTTCTATTCACCATTTAACTCTCAGTGATATTTTTGTGTGACAAATTAGTTCGTTTACCGGTTCAGTGACGCACAGACACATTAGTTTCATTTTTTTATTTCTGTTATATTATATAGATAATGTTACTGTCTAGCAAATCTAAATCTTCACTTTGTTCTTCTTTAACACTATTATTTTACATTTACAGTCGTGAAGAAGGCGATATCGGTTATTTATCACTCATATACATCATCTGTATTTGAAAGCACGTTAATCGGTTAATCAGTTTGTTAAACTTGACGTTTATTATGTTTTTGCGTGTGCTCTGTTATGTTTATCAATTGTCCAAGTAGTTTAGTGTCATTTTGTTGTATGTGCATAACTGTAATAAACAACACGTTAGTAGGTATTAGGTGCGCGTACGCACTGATAGTAGTAAAGTGTTAATATCAGAAATTTCTCCTACGCTTGTGCAATTTATTGCCATATAACGACATTCTGTCATACTCTAGTTGGGATGTTTAGAGTAATTTCGGAAGTTTTTTCAC